GGCCTCAAACCTGTGATGCCCCAAGGGGCCTGCCAGGAGCGGAGAACAGGGGGGCCTCCCTCCTTGCACCGAGCAACCGAGAAGGTTTCACGAGGCGGGCCTCCTCCAATTGCCAGAATGCGACCTGCTTGGATGCGCCTGGTCCAAGACTGGACTGTCGAGGAGCGCGTGAGATCTCCCTTGTCCCTGTCAAGCTGGATGTCCAGAGAAAGCACCGTGAGCTCGAAGGAGGGCGTGTGCCGCTGCAGCACAATCTCTTCTGCATGGTGCACATCCCCCTCTCGACGTTGCCCGCGAAACAAGTTGGCAACGAAAACCTGTCGTCTAAGAATACGTCGAGGTGGAACAACTGCAAGAGAGCCTGTGAACTTGTCCGTGGCAAACGGCCATTCAACATCTGACGGCGACGGATCATGTTCCTGGTTGGCCTCATCAACAGCCATCGACTGCATGATCTGTCGAGTCCATCCCGTGATAAAATTGACAGTAACATTGATATATTTGGAGGTTTCGGCTGGGTCATAGTTCGCACGCACCGCTATGGCGTTAGGAGGGAGGGGGCCATGGAGGCTAAACGAAGGAACAGCTGAGTACGAATGCGAACGCCCTTGCCGAGTCAACTCTTTATTTTGCCGACGCTAAATCTCTGTCATGGCTTCTCCATCTGCCATTGACTTCGGAGATATGTGTCGCAAGGAGTAAACCGGGAAAGCTGGCCGCCAAGACGAAACATGCTTGAGCAGCAAGTTTCTGGAAGAACAGTATTTGAGGCATGCCGCACACCAGGTAGTCGATACTCTGGCTCTGGCAAGGTCAGTGTAAGAAAAATGATTTGTACGAATGTGTGAGTCAAGCGAGTGGCTTGATAAGAACGTGCTGTCGCGCAAATGGCAGGCCAGCTGATCCTGGGGGGGTCGGGGCACGGGTAAGCCTTTGCTTGGAGGCAAGCCAGCAGCCGTAAAACTCGCCAGCAACCTCCGCTCCCATGCCTTAACCTTGACGTCCCTTTGCAAACGATCAGTAGCAGCACTAAGAGCCTCCTTGAGCGTTGTTTTCCATGCCGAAGGAGACTTGGCAACCTCCTCAACCCATTGTCCAGGCTCCGAGCTAGGTAAAGGCCAATCGGCGTACCTGAAGTGGGACGCCCTCAGCCAAGCAAGATCATCCAAGATCTCAGACGCTCTGAAATCAGCGTGCACCAATGCTTTTAAAAGGGGCAGATGCATTGTGCACGACCTGACCGAGAAGCCTGAGTCTGAAAACTTGTAACAGGAAAGAGGCCAGGGGTCTTTTAGCAGCAGCGAGGACAGCTCGATCGGTCGGCCCACCTTTCTCGAAGCCCGGCATTCGCATGATCGATCGATAATGGCGAGCATAGTGCGAGTGAAATCGATTCCAGTCCGATTTGAGTAGTCAATACCACGTGCCCGACGAGCACATGGCAGCATTAAGTGAGAGGCTATCGAGGAAAATGAGCTTCGGCGCCATGTCCTTGTCTGGGGCCTTCGCAATAGCCTTGCGAAGGGCCTTGATAGCTCCGCTAGCCTCTCTATCTCTGTAAGTAATTTCTGGCCCCAGGGAACACTTGTCATCTAACACTGCCCCTAGGTAAACAGAAGAGCGAACCACCGAAATCGCATTGCCACCGCAAGAGAGGCCAGGAACCGAAATCGTGGGGTCGGGGACCGGAAAAGAAAGGTTTTCACGAAAACTTGGAACACCACGCCCTCTCACATCCAAAAGGGTCTCCGTCTTCCCAACTTTTAGATGTGGCACCAAGCCTGCTGGGGCAAATGCATTGATGACAATGCGGCAAAACCTAGGCAGCGCGTCTCGAAATTGATCAAAATCTGTCATGATAACAAAGTTTGAATCATCTGCATACACGAGGCCTGGCATATCCTCTTGTAGATCGCCTGGGTTCGACGCAAACCAGGTCGTGTGCTTAGGCAGCTGCAGAAGTAATCCTTCAATGGGAAAGCTGGTCAGACACCTTGGCCATGACTTCAGCAATGATGAAAATAAATATGGCGTCTCCGAATGGCGTGCCTGGGCGTGTTCCTTGGTTAGTGATGGCGATATGCTCTGCACCTGGTACCTGAAACCACCCCATTCGGAACGCTTCCTGAACGAGTGCAACAAAATGCGGCGACAGATCGTGCCTATGCAATAGCGGCATCTCCTGTATCCGTTCCTGTAGAAAGGGGCAACTAATTGTTTGGCAGACCAGCGCACTGCAGCAAGGAGAGAAGGGAGGACTCGGACGTATCGGTGGTCAAAACAAGTTCCCGAATGCAAGAGTAAAGTGCATTGATAACGTCAACAGGAAGGCAATGCACTTGTTCTTGGCCACCGCCGTCTTCTGAAGCACTCTAGCTGCGAGGATAGACACAGGAGTACCCCTTCCTGCGATGCAGGCAAACTGGTTACTGCCAACCGCACACTCAAGCACGGGCAACAATATTGAACGCAAGAAGCAGTGATATCTTTTACTTTTCCTATATGAGAGGCAACAAGAATAGAGCGGGAGGCGGACGTAGCATATATGTCCCCCCTCCGTTTGGGTATGTAGGTTAGGTCTCCCCCTTTCCACCGGGCTGGCTCCGACACTAACATGGCCCGAAGATAAGCGGGAAATAGGTTTTTCCCAGGAACTTGGCACAAGCCCTAACAAAGGCCCAGTGGAGCCCGTCAGGCCCTGCCGCTGCGGAGTTGGTAGAACGCAAGGCCCTCTCAAACTCTTGGAGTGACGGCACGTCCTCCCACGTGCGTTCGCCTGGGAGAACAAACAAAGACTTGTTGCAGAAAACAGGCCCAAAGAGAAAAGGGGAAACCATTGCAGCAAACTCCTGCGCAGAGAAATGCTTCATCCACCTCTGGTGTGCCATCGGAACTGCAGGAGCAAACGAGCCGTCAGGCATTTTAACAGACGGAAGTATGTTATGTTGCTTGTGCCTTTTTTCTTGCAGCACCCAACGCACGTAGCGCTGCGTAAGATTTAGTATAATCCCTTGACGACCATGCATCAGAAACCTCGTTGGCTATGCATTTTAGCTTGTCGGGTGCATCCAGCGTGACGCGACGATTGACTTCCAAAACATACGGTTCCAAAGCCAAAATTGAAAAGCCGAGAACCTAGTCGCAATGACTTTAGACCTCCACCACAGCTCACCCCAACAGATAGGGGCCCGGCTTGAAGAAACGGAAGTGACCAGAAGCGAAATCGCAGCATGATCGATTGTGGCTTGCCTCTGTATATTGCCTTTGTGTCTAGCTCTGCGCTTCCATCTCATCTTAAGCGCGGCCTTCGCCTTCTGAAGAGCTTGCTGCGAAATACGGCCTAGCTGCGCACTCCGATGCAGGCAAGCGTACGGCACGGGAGAAGAAGGGGAAATGGAGGAGGCCCAAAGATTTCTGACCGTGTTGATTCTTTTCTATTTCAGGAAAGTCTTGAGTGTGAGAGAGGAGCAATAATTGGAAAGGGGAAAAAAGCGAGACTGGAGGACGAAAATCCCACTTCTTGGACCAGCTTACTTTGCGCCAGCCGCATAGAATGACACGCATGCTCAGCCAATGACCTTCAAAGCGCAACTGCAGAAGGGAGCGACGCGTGATATGTAGAGCTTACAATTTCTGTGCTGGAGCCGGGAGGAGGAGGGAGGAGGAGGGAGGAGGAGGGAGGAGGGAGGGGATCCTCGGGGCGGGACTGGACGGGGAAGGGACAGGGCGGGACGGCCCGGCACGCGACGGGGACCGGGCGGGACGGGGAAAGCAGAATCGCTGGACGAGGCAGGGCGGGGCGGGGCGGGGATGAGGGGGCAGCGATAGGGTCGATGATCCTCAGGACGTGTGTTAGCCCAATGTGTCTCAATCCCGTTCGGCCTGGGTCGGCCATCGTTACGCCACGTGCGTCGTGTTGAAAGGCTTCGATGGACCAGCACACGTTGGCGATAACACACGTTCTGAGGATCATCGACAAAAGGGGGAAGGGATGGGCTCGAGGAGGGGGGGGGGACAGGGCTCGGGGGGACGGGGAAGGGCAGAACGCCTCGGCCCCCAAACGCCCCCCAATCGCAGACTGGGGCCTGGGGCCTATCGCCGATCTGTCGACGACGTATCGCCGATTCCACGCCGACGTTTCTCCCCCCGTGCCCCCTCAGGGGAGCGAGGGGGGCAGGGCCGGAGGCGGCACTGGGGCGGCGAGGAGGGAGCCAAAGTACGAGGCAGTGGCGTTGGAGGCAGGCAAGCAGGATGCCAGGAGCGGGGATGCGGGGATTGCCAGGGTTACCGCCATCACAAGAGTGATATGATATTGCATGCCACCCCCTGAGCTCGAAGCACCGCGGCTACGAAGAAACAGGAAGCCCACCCGTGGAGCCAGCAGAGACAACACCAAACAAAAGATGTTCACTCCTGCCAAGCCAGACCACCAAGAGCAAATCAAGCAGCACTCATCCGTGGCGCGCCGCGCGTTCCGACAATTCCGAGGCGGCGGGCGCACTAGCCTCAGATAACGACACGCCCATCGGCGTGCCGCCCCAATTAGCCTCCGTGGGGCACCACTCCCACGCGAGACCAGCCCTCCCCCACGCTCGCCCGGGCGGAGGACAGGGGCCGTGGGGGGGAATGGGAGGGCCAATATTGGCGACGAGGAGAAGAGTCTCTCCCCTGCCCGCCCCTGCCGAACATCGTGGTTGCCCACAACCCTCGGGCAGTCACAGACATGGTGACGATCGGTCTGCAACCCTCTTGTTTGCCCGGGAGAGAATCCCAGTGGCACAGGTGCTCGATTTCGGGAGAGGGGGGAGGACAGGACGGAGGAGGAGGAGGAGGAGGAGAAGCTGAGACTGGATGATAATAGCGGACGAATAAGCACGGATGGCAAACGGAGAAGGGCGGAGGAGGAGCGACGGGACGGAAGAGGAGCGGGGAGGAGGGGAGGAGGGGGAGGGGAAGGGGAGGAAGGAGAAGGAGGAGTAAGGAGGAGGAGGAAGGAGGAGGGGAGGAGGAGGAGGAGGAGGGGAGGAGGGAGGGGAGAGGGTAGGGGTTGGGAATGGAGGGGAGGAGAAGGAGGAAGGAGAAGGAGGAAGAGGAGAAGGCAGGCTGCAGGGGCCACGGCACGGGCAGGGGCAGGGAGCTGCGGGAGGAGAGGGAGGCAGAGGGAGCGGGGATCGGACTCCCAGCTCGCGACTCGCCGTGAGGATTGCGCCGGTTCTATCCTTGCGTCAATCGTCGCTCGGGGGCGACAAAGAGGGGGTTGATGACTAGGGGGGGCGGACTAGGTCGTCGTCGTCGACGTCGTGGTCGTCGTTCTATCCTTGCGTCAATCGTCGCATTATGTCCGTTGAGCGTTCAGCCTCTCGTTGACGAGACTCGACGTTTCAGTGGGAGGTTTCGAACCTCCCACAATGACTAAAACGTTGAGTCATTGTGACAGCGGTTGCCTCGATGCATTTGGTGTTTTGTTTTCCTCGGCCTGTTGCCAGGCAATGGGCGTTGTGATCACGTACGACGTCACAGATCAGGAGCCCAGACCGAAGGGAAAGTATGTGTCGGAGCTGGGGATGATTAGTTGCGCCTGCGCGTTAATAGCTTGTCTTGCTTAGAGACGTATGAGTACCCACGCGACCGACTTTGAGTCCGATTAGGAGGCCGGTGGTAGGAGTGCTTCGTCTTCGATACATCAGGTCTTCGCGCATGTGGGCCCGAACAAATCCACAACTTACAAGCTTGCCCCATTTCTGAACAGCAATTGAGCCACAACTGATCTACACCAAAAACGCAGTTGCTGCCGAAATCTGCGCATGCTTGCCTCACAGCTTGTTTACGAAGGCTCCACAAGATGCCCGTCATTGATTCACAGTTGAGACAAGTCCTGCACAGCTAGACCACAATCGATGCATGCTTTGCGCGCAGCTATTCACCATCGATCGCATCGCGGCACCACCGCACGACGACACCACGACGCCGCGGCATTCCTTGATCTGCATGTGGCTATCACAATGGCGCCGCAGCGCATCCACAACGGAACCGCCATCGATGCAGCATTGAGTGACAAATGAGCGTAGCAGAAGAGGGGGTTGCGCCGACATGCGCGCGTAAGTTGCCCGCGTAAGGTCGCGTACGCGCCCTCGTTTCCAACGTAGCGTGCCGCACTGGCGGCCCACGTCAGCCACCGCGTACGCTCGCTATGTTATCTTGCGTGAGACCCGTTCCTTCCCGTCGCTCAATGCGTCCACACCGCGGCACAACGACCCCCCGCGCGGCAGCCCGCTAAAGGAGGAGGAGGGGACCCTTCAACTTGCCAAGAGTCAATATTCTGTATAGGGCAAGAATCGCCCCCCTCATCGGATCCGCTGGAGGGGTGTTGGGCACGTGCTGTCGGAAGGGGTGGAGGGGGGGTTGGAGGTGGAGGAGGAGGAGAAGTAGTAGGAGGAAAAGTAGGAGGGGGAGGAGGAGGAGGAGGAGGAGGTGGAGGATGGGGGGGATGGGCAAGCTCTGTCGGAAGGTTTGTCGCCCACCCGCGATTCATCTCCCACCCAGGGTAGGCAGCATGTGCCCGGACATGGCAGGGCACTGCGAAAAACAGCGCTGACCCACGGAGTCACGAGTCGGGCTTACGGCACGACGCGGCACACGGCGACCCAGGTTGCGCCATAGGGTCCGCCATAGGTTGCACCATCGGTAGTGCCGTAGGTTGTACCGTAGTCCTCATCACGAAGTCACTTTTTGGCATGCTGTGTCAAGGTTTCGCTGTAGATTCTGTCACAGGTTCTGCCACGGGTTGCACCGTAGGTTTCACCAGAGGTTCTGCTGGAGGTTGTGCCATAGTTTGCGGCGTAAGTGCTGTGTCGGTTCTGGCCAGGTTCCACCACAAGCTGCGCAGCAGTCCGCCGGACCGAACCATGTCTTGGTCCGTTCTGCCCAGACTGCGCCATACATGTCGCCACATACAAGCTTATTGCACGAGATACCCACGATGTTGTGTCGCACTATGCTGTGTCGCACGATGCTGTGGTGCACCACGCTGGCGCATCTTTTATACTATCATCGGCGGCTCCCGCACCGACCTGGTCACCGACCAGGTCACCGTCTCCCGCACCGACAAGCTCACCGACGACCTCACCGACCAGCTCGTCGACTCCTGCGCCGACCAACTCGCCGCTCCTCAGGCCGACGACGGCACTGTCGAAGTGAAGGCATATTGCACGAGATGCCCACGATGTTGTGGCGCACCATGCTGTGTCGCACGATGTTGTCTTGCACCACGCTGGCGCAGCTCTTGATACTGTCATCGGCTGCTCCCGCACCGACCAGCTCACCGACAACCGCACCGACCAGCTCGTCGACTCCTGCGACGACTAGCTCGACGCTTCTCAGGCCGACGACGGCACTGTCGAAGGGAAGGCACATATTGCACGAGATGCCCACGGTGTTGCGTCGCACCATGCTGTATCGCACGATGTTGTGTTGCACTACACTTGCGCAGCTCTGGACAGTAACATCGGCTACTATCATCGGCTGCTCCCGCACCGACCAGGTCACCGACTCCCGCACCGACCAGCTCACCGACAACCGCACCGACCAGCTCGTCGACTCCTGCGCCGACCAGCTCACCGCTTCCCAAGCCGACGACAGCACTGTCGGAGCGAAGGCATATTGCACGAGATGCCCACGATGTTTCGTCGCACCATGATGTGTCGCACGATGCTGTGGTGCACCACGCTGGCGCATCTTGTTTACTATCACCCGCACCGACCAGGTCACCGACCAGGTCACCGACTCCCGCACCGACAAGCTCACCGACGACCTCACCGACCAGCTCGTCGACTCCTGCGCCGACCAACTCGCCGCTCCTCAGGCCGACGACGGCACTGTCGAAGTGAAGGCTTATTGCACGAGATGCCCACGATGTTGTGGCGCACCATGCTGTGTCGCACGATGTTGTCTTGCACCACGCTGGCGCAGCTCTTGATACTGTCATCGGCTGCTCCCGCACCGACCAGCTCACCGACAACCGCACCGACCAGCTCGTCGACTCCTGCGCCGACTAGCTCGACGCTTCTCAGGCCGACGACGGCACTGTCGAAGGGAAGGCACATATTGCACGAGATGCCCACGATGTTGCGTCGCACCATGCTGTGTCGCACGATGTTGTGTTGCACTACACTTGCGCAGCTCTTGATACCAACACCGGCTACTATCATCGGGTGTTCCCGCACCGACCAGGTCACCGACTCACGCACCGACCAGCTCACCGACAACCGCACCGACCAGCTCATCGACTCCTGCGCCGACCAGCTCACCGCTTCCCAGGCCGACGACAGCACTGTCGGGGCGAAGGCATATTGCACGAGATGCCCACGATGTTGCGTCGCACCATGATGTGTCGCACGATGCTGTGGTGCACCACGCTGGCACAGCTTTTATACTATCATCGGCGGCTCCCGCACCGACCAGGTCACCGACAAGGTCACCGACCCCCGCACCGACAAGCTCACCGACGACCTCACCGACCAGCTCGTCGACTCCTGCGCCGACCAACTCGCCGCTCCTCAGGCCGACGACGGCACTGTCGAAGGGAAGGCCTATTGCACGAGATGCCCACGATGTTGTGTCGCACCATGCTGTGTCGCACGATGTTGTCTTGCACCACGCTGGCGCAGCTCTTGATACTGTCATCGGCTGCTCCCGCACCGACCAGCACACCGACAACCGCACCGACCAGCTCGTCGACTCCTGCGCCGACTAGCCCGACGCTTCTGAGGCCGACGACGGCACTGTCGAAGGGAAGGCACATATTGCACGAGATGCCCACGATGTTGCGTCGCACCTTGCTGTGTCTCACGATGTTGTGTTGCACTACACCTGCGCAGCTCTGGATACTAACACCGGCTACTATCATCGGGTGTTCCCGCACCGACCAGGCCACCGACTCCCGCACCGACCAGCTCACCGACAACCGCACTGACCAGCTCGCCGACTCCTGCGCCGACCAGCTCACCGCTCCCCAAGCCGACGACAGCACTGTCGGAGTGAAGGCATATTGCACGAGATACCCGCGATGTTGCGTCGCACCATGATGTGTCGCACGATGCTGTGGTGCACCACGCTGGCGCATCTTTTATACTATCATCGGCGGGCACCGACCAGGTCACCGACTCCCGCACCCACTCCCGCACCGACAAGTTCACCGACGACCTCACCGACCAGCTCGTCGACTCCTGCGCCGACCAACTCGCCGCTCCTCAAGCCGACGACGGCACTGTCGAAGTGAAGGCTTATTGCACGAGATGCCCACGATGTTGTGGCGCACCATGCTGTGTCGCACGATGTTGTCTTGCACCACGCTGGCGCAGCTCTTGATATTGTCATCGGTTGCTCCCGCACCGACCAGCACACCGACAACCGCATCGACCAGCTCGTCGACTCCTGCGCCGACCAGCTCGCCGATTCTGCGGCAGACGACGGCACTGTCGAAGTAAAGGCATATTGCACGAGATGCCCACGATGTTGTGTCGCCCCATTGGGGGATCACGACGGCTTTTGAGCACGCACTGAAATGGTCAAGGCGGGCAACGACCTGGCAACATTTTGTCTTACAGTGTTTTGTTTCGTCCACTGTTGCATCCTAGAGCCCGGATGCCGCCACACACACACACACACACGTTCGCGCAAGGGAGGTTCCCGTTATTGTTTAGGAGAACAGGTATATGGCATTGCGTGCGCTAGTACGTGCAATAAGGTGTACGATATCTTATGTTGGCCAAGCGCGGAGCATCAGCTAAGCACGTTCCGCCCTTGAATTAGGAGTTTGCCTGGAGAGTTAGAGCACGTGGTCCTCCCTTCTCGTCTCTTTCCTCCCGCTCCCGCCGCCCCCGCCGCAGTTGCTCCTGCTTCCCCGCCCTCCCCCCGCACTGTGCACGCGTGAGGAATGCTCACCGTGGTTATTTTGAGTACGATTTATCGTTTGTCATTTGTGCCTTGCTGTTCTGGCACTGGCTCGCCGGCGGCTACCGCCTAGCGTTCATTCCCTCCTCCTCCTCGTCCTCCTCCTTCGCTCCTTCAGCAGTGCTCGCGAGGGTCTCTGTGCGCAGGCCATTGCATTCGTCCTGGCCGATTTACGCACGCGCGGGTAGTTTTGCGTTTGTCTTCTCCCCCTCTGCTTTTGCCGTCCTCCATCTTAGTGCGCCATCTTGCTTTCTTGACGCAGCCTCGTCTGGGGGCACGCCGATCAAGGAACCATCTCCTGGTGGTCTTGCTCAGTCGACTCGGCCTGTAGGCTGCGCCAGATGTCCATCCGGCTTCGCAGGCGCAACGTCGTTCGGGTGCTATGTCGCTTGATGTCTGCCGAATACCCTTCAAAGTCTGTGCTAACCTTTGTTTGTTGGCGATGCGTTGCGGCGGGGGGAAGGTAAATGAAACATGCGAACCTTGTCTCTGTAGACGTACAGTCTGGACCCTGAAGAAGGAACCCTGTTCGTTGGGGAGGGGCCCCGCGTTCCCTCTATAAGTGTTTTCGATCGGAAATCGAAGCTTAACTTATGGAAAAAAAGGGGCCTCGTTCCTTATTTTGGGCTCCTTAGGTCAAGGCCCCGACTGAAGGAGGAGCTCCCTGTGGGGCGCGATCCTTGTGAGGGGTGTGCCGACATGGGCGGGGGGAGGCTATTCCAACCTTGTCTCTGGAGCCGCACGATCCGCGTGACGGCATCTGTCGTCCGATGCCGAAAAAATCAGATTACAACTAGAGCATGCTAGATCCTCAGCGCGCGCGAAGCGCACACGCGGTTTTAATGTATACATATGTATGTATGTTGCGTCAGAGGTTGCGCCGTGGTCCGTCACGCCAAACAGGTGTTGGCCCGTTGCGCGTTAATTGCGCCATAGGTTGCGCCGTTTTCTCCAAGACCATTGTCGGTTGCACCGAACAGCATGTTGGGATGCGCTGGCCCTCAATCATTTGTTTCAAACGTGGTTTCGGATAGGGAAACTTCTCAGCGTTGCACCTAAACCCAGTATCCGGAGCGCTGCTCAGCACGCGCGCCACGCCGACGTCACCAGCAGTAGCAGTGGCACCCCCGTAGAGGCTTCACACCCCCAAGATCCCAACCCTGAGTTGAGTAGTCGGCATGCTCTGTTCAAAACGTGCGTGCGTGTGTGGCACAGCGCAGATCGAAGAGGAACAAGAAGACACCACAAGCGCGCGAGCATCTGCTTATGTAAAAATGGTGCACACCTCGACAAGGCTGCACGGACGCTAGAAGCAGCAGCGTAAGCGGAGGAGAAGGAGCAGGACGAGGACGCGTCAGAGTTTTCTGTTTTGCCCTGAGCCACGAATCATGTGTCGGTCGGTCCAGAATGAGTCCTCGAGCGTCGATTTTCTCGACCCCGTTGTGTCGGCCGCAGCCTTAGAGTCCATTTTCGCTGCACTCAGGGAGCGAAGCCCGCCACCCTCCCCGCCTTTGGAGGCGCCCCTCTCCGCTCCCTCGAGGGCCGAGGTGGCTGGGGGGGGAGTTTTTCTCTCTGCTTTTCCCTTTCCCCGCTCCCACGCACGCTGTGCTTCACAAGCGTTTGTAATATTTCTTCTTATATTTTTAAAAAGAAAAGAAGAAGGAAGACAAACAAAGAAAACAAAACTCCCTCTCGGGCCGAAACAGCAGGATAAGGAAAGGGGGGGATATTAGCTGGCTTCTCGTGGGTTCGAAGTTATGAAAAATCGAAACGTCGGGGCTCCAGGGACAGAGGATCCGAAGGGGCAGACTGCCGTCTCAGCTCCTCGGTTCCGACGAGACGGGGAGTTAGGAAAGAGTTCTTTTTGTGTTCGCTTGTAGGGTCCCCCCTCTGGGTTCGACAGGGGGGGCGGCCTCCCTAAAATGGCTCCGGGCTCCGAACCCCGGATGGGGGGGCCGCCCCCCGAGAACCGGGGGTTCACCCCCCTTTCCCGAGGGGAGGGGGGGGCCAAGAAGGGTAGAAGGTGGGGGGGGGCCTGGGGGGATGGCACCCGAGGGCCATCCCCCTTATCAACTCGCCAGAATCCCGAGGGCCGACGACGACGACGATGACGACGACGGGGGGCTAGCAAGCGCACACGACGGCGACAGGGGGCCAGCAAGTGCACACGACGATGGCGACAGGGGGCCAGCACGCGCAAACGAGAATCACGACGATGGCGTCGACGACGGCGACTAAGACGACGACGAGGACGACGACGAGGACGAAGACGACGACAAGGTTTCATTGAATGTTCCGCCCGCCCGTCCTGCGTTTTCGGCGGTCGTGATACACTGTCCCATGACACACTCCCAACAGGGAGTGAAGATTGCATTTGATGGGCCGCCCGCCCGATTTGGACGCCACATCACTGAGTGAATTTATCCTTCAATGTCCTGCCCGCCTGGACGGCGTCTTCGGCGGTTGTGAGCGATGTCCTTATAATTATTTCATTTCAAGCAGCGAAGGTTGCATATAGTGTCCCGCCCGCCTGATTTGGACGCCCCATCTTTGAATACAGGTTTCGTTTAATGTCTCGCCCGCCCGACCTGCGTCGTTGTGCGGTCGGGATACATTCTCCCATGACCCTCTCCTAACGCAATTAATGTTCCGCCCGCCCGACATGGACGCGCCTGAATGAATGGGTCCTAGAATGTACCCATCGCCTGACGAGCGTCTTCGGTGGTTTTGATCGATGGTCTCCTGACTTTCTCATTTCACGCAGCGAAGTTGCATTTAGTGTCCCTGCTTGTGGACGCCCCATCACTGCTTACAGGTTTCGTTCGATTTCCCGCCCGCCCGAACAGCGCTTTTGGCGGTCGTGAAACATTTTCCCATCACCGTCTCCCAAGACAGAATGAAGATTGCATTTAATGTCGCGCCTGCCCGCTGTGGACGCCCCATCACTGAGCGAACGGTTCCTTGAATGTCCCGCCCGCCCGACCTGCGTCTGCGGCGGTTGTGATCAGCTTCCCTGACATGTTTCAACTCATTCAGTGAAGGTTGCATAGAACGTCCCCCTCCCAAGTTCGACATCCCATCACTGACTACACGTATCACTTAGGTTTCCGCACGTCCGAGTTGTGTCGTTGGTTGTTGTGATATAGCTTTCCATGACCTTTTCCCAACAGAGTGAACGTTGCATTTAATCTTCTGCCCGCCCGACCGGTTCACCAGCTCGTCATTATCGTCGTCGTCGTCAGGCTCGTCGTCGTTGTCGCCGTCGCCGTCTGTTGCCGTCGCCGTCGCCGTCGCCGTTGCCGTCGTTGCTGTCGTCGCCGTCGCCGTCGCAGTGATCGTCGTCGTCGTCAAGCTCGTCTGTGATCTCGCTCCTCCACCTCTGTACTGCCTCCTCCGCACTCATTACTAATTGTTTGAGAGCCTCCGTCGTATTGTCCTGCTGATCTCGGGCGAACAGCAGTGTCCTTCAGCGCCTTGTTGAAGATCTCAAAGTACCATGTTGGCATGCCGTGCTTGAGAGTGTCCTCCAGGGTCTCTGAATTATACGAAACAGCTCCAGTAGCCGTTTTCCAGGAAAGTTTGCCGTCCCTCGGAAGATTTCATAGCCAGAAAATTTCAGAATCCCCTCTCCTCCTTTGTTTCAGTGCGTTGTGTAAACTCCCACCGAAGATTACGATCTAGCGGTGCATGATCTCGTGGGTGTTTGTTAGGTATACGTTTGTATTTACGCAAAGTTCGCACAAGAGGGCCTCCAGAGGCTACAAGCGGGGCATCAGCGGCAGGGCCAAAGATGTAGTCTGTTATATTCTGGGACGTGTTGTCAGTCCCATAACGCGTTCGCTCGACCCGCTCCCTGAATCCTAAGAGAAAGAACCCGACCCCGCCATCAACTCTCTTGCTTGTTCACCCGCTCCTCCACAGATCACCTCCTGTGTGCTAAGTGCTTCCGATACCGTGCTCGTGTCCGTGTAGACCCACCTGCCTTCCCGCCACGATAGTCCCACCCCATCATCAAGATCCATATTGAAATTAGGCAGCACGCGAAACGTTATAACGATATGAGAGCGGCCGCGCACAGCAGTCTGACAAAGAAAGGGGGTGCATGAAGGTTGCAATACACGGAGCGTGTGCTTTCCATTGCATACGGAAAAGTGGTTGAGTCAGCCACAGGTCGTGCCATTTCAGGAGGAGGAGGAGGAGGAGGAGGGCAGTGCCAAGAACCCGCTCGCGGCGCCACCACGCGGTCGCAGCCGCCAACCCTTCGGGAGCGGGGCCGGCGTGCGTGCGCTTAGGGTTCTATTGTATAGCGTTGGCAGCGTGAAGCCGACGCGGCCGTGGCCACGTCGTCCCTCTGGTGGGGGAAGGGCAGTTCTGGTGAGGAAGAGGAGTGCTTTGGTAGAGGAGGTGCACAGCGCCCTCGAGGTAGTGGATGCGGTGTGTAGGGGGGTCTGGGGAGCAGGGACAGCAGTCTTGCTGTTGCGCAACGCCCTCCCTCGCGTGGCGTTCCCACTCCACCGCGCCGCCGCCCCGCGCACGGACGCGGGACCTCTACCGCCGCGGTACCGCCGCACGCAGGCGACGGCAGGTTCCTTAAGAGGGGAGGTGGACAGGGAGGGCCATGCTTCAACCGTAACGCAACAGACAAGGATTCTGCAGTAAATGAAAAAAGCCGACCTCGTGCCTCGTCCTCCTCCTCCTCCGACCCCTCCTCGTTCTCCCTCAAGCAGAAGAAGAACCACCCCCTCCTCCTCCTCCTCCTCCTCCTCCTCCTCCCCTCCTCCCTCCTCCCCCTCCTCCGCCCCCTCCCCCCTCCCCTCCTCCCTCCCCCCTCCTCCCTCCCTCCTCCTCCCCCTCCCCCACCTCCACCTCCCCCTCCCCTCCTCCTCCTCACTCCTCCTCTCCTCCCTCTCCCTCCTCCTCCCTCCCTCTGCCTCCTTCCTCCTCCTCCTCATCCTCCTCGCACTCCTCCTCCTCCTCCTCCTCCTCCTCCTCTCCCCTCCTCCTCCTCCCCCCTCCCCCTCCCCCTCCTCCTCGCTCCTCTCCTCCTCCTCCTCCTCCTCCTCCTCCTCCTCCTCCTCTCCCTCCTCCTCCTCCTCCCCTCCCCTCACCCTCCTCCCTCCTCCCTCTCCTCTTCTCCTCCTCCTCCTCCTCCTCCTCCTCCTCCTCCTCCTCCTTCTCCTCCTCCTCTTCTCCTGGGTGCGGGAAGGGGTGAGGCGCATCGCATCACTGCACGAGGCCCTTCTGCGTTTGCGGGTGGAGCTCCCCGTCGTTTGGGGGGACCTTTGCCTGGCGGCCGCCCCAGTCGAGCTTTGACCACGTGGAGTTCTGGGTCACGCAGCTCGACCAGCACGGCGACACGAGAGTGCAGGCGGTCTTTGAGGGGAGAATTGCTGGGCGACGCTTCTGCAGCACGTCCTCCTCACGTCCTGCCTCCTCCCTCCCTCCGCATTCTTCCAAAGAAAGACCGACATCAATATATATCTATATATATATATAGATATGTGTGACGCTTGGAGTTCCGACAGGTTCTGTGTACAGTCGAGAGTTTGATTGGAAAGAGCACGCGGCAGGACACAGGACCCGTCCTGTGCGTTTGCCCCAGGAGCGCCAGGACACGAGGCGCAAAACACAAGACACAATGCCACCCTTGATTCGGAAGGGTCGACCTACGAAGCAAACCCGATTGCATGCTGTTTCTGTGGTTTCATCATTTCGCTCAATACGCCGACCCACATTGTATCGCTGGTGTTCTGGGTTGGCGTGCTCGTGGCGAGCGAGAAGGAGGAGGATAGAGACGGGAGAATGAGGATAAGGCCTCTCAGTGGTTTCGTGGGGCACTCCTGGGGCCAAACTGGGTCTTAATCAAGGCGCCTCTCTGGGATGCTTCCTCGGGGCTCTCGGGGGGCCTCCTGCTTCTGTTATCATGTCGTTCTGGTATCACATCATTCCTCGCCCAATCTCTCTAAATAGTTCTCTCTCTCTCTCTCACTCGTAGGAAGGGTCTAGTTCGGGTCGGTTCGGGCTGGTTCGGCGGCGGGCCTGTTCGGCCCGACTCGGTCTTGGAATGGTCGTTCGGACCGGCTCGGCCGGTCTGGTTCGGGCCCGGGGCCATGAAGGCCCGAGAGAGGGCCCCGAGAGAGGGAGAGAGAGCCTCTCCCCATGTACAGGCGTTGTTTTGATTTTTTCGCACGGGGCCCCTGGAGGTCCGAAAGAGCGCATCCTGTGGACGTTGGGAAGGGGGGGGGGGCGGTTCGAACCAGGGAGGGCCCCCCCCCCGGAATGCAAGGGAGGGAGGGGGGTCAGACCAGGAGGCGGGCCCCCCTCTCAAGGCGGGGGGGCGGGTCGAATCGGGAGGGGGGGGGCCTCCCTCCCCAGTGTCAACCGACGACGGCGAGCGCCCGCTCCCGCGCCAGCGCCGTTGGGCAACGCAAAGACGACGATCGATCTTTGGTAGGATGCTCTGAAGGCTGGATCGAGCCCCAGTAAGATTCTATTATTGCTGGATCGAGCCCCAGTAGGATTCAACCAGAGCTCGATCCAGCTGCAGTCGGGTTCTATTCGAAATAACCGTGCTTTAGTAGGATTCAAGTAGAGCTGGATCGAGCTATAGGAGGGTTCTAGTAGATCGAGCCCGACTCGGATATTATTAAATATGGGCCCAGCCATAGTGGGATTCAATTCGGGATGAATCGAGACCTGGTTGATTTCAACTAGAGCTGGATCCAGCCATAGTCGGATTATATTAGAATCGGATCGAGCCCGGCTAGGATGTGATTCAAGTTGAGTCCGACTGTAGTAGGATCCTATAGGAGCTCAACCGAGCACGAATATGATTCTATAAGGGGGAGGAGGGGGGGAGAGGGCCGGTTCGAGAGGCTGGTGTCCAGGGGGGGGAGGGCCTACAGTTCCTCGCGGCGCTTCAAATGTGTTTTGGGGGGGTCTCCTCGAGTTCTGGCGTGCGGGGTTGTTTTCCCAGCAAGCGTCCACGAAACCCGTTCTCTCGGAGGTCCCGGCCCACTCCCCAGGACCGGTTTTTCATCTTGGCAGTTTTCTGACGGTCTTGGGGCCCCTTGGGGCCCGAAGATGGCCACAGGCCTCCTGTCGCGTTCCTGTCACGACTCTCTCAGGCTTGGGTCTCGTCTCTCTCTCCCTCTCTCTCCCCTTCTCTCTCTCTCTCTCTCTCTCTCTCTCTTTCTCTGTATATATATATATATATATACAAGACTGCAGTGGCGCTTCGCGCCATGCACCTTGGTCCTTGTAGTTTGGTATGCAAGCCGACAGTTTAGCGATAACTCCTTGTTGCCTTTTCTGGCATCGCCGCTATAATATTTGTTTCCGTTATCCTTTCTCCATGCTTCTTTTTCCTCATTTTCGCCATGCCCTGCGCATTCTCCCCATCCTCCTCAGCTCTGTTTGCGGAGGCTCCTACTTGGAGAGCCTCTGGGGTTTCACGGAAGTTTTCCAGGCTTTCTTAAGGCCTTCTGGAGGCCTCCTGGGCGTGTTCTGCGGGCCTCTGGTGGCTTCCTCGGGCCACCCTGCCTCCAACCGCGGTCTCCCTGAACGACTGGGTCACGATTTGGAATGCTTCGGAGGGTGTCTTGGGGCCATCTTGGGCCGCCATGGGGCTCTCTGAGGGCCATCTTGGACCCCTGTTGTGCCGTTTTGGGGCTCTCTTGGACTGCCTGGAAGTCCTTTCGGGTGATTTTGGAGCCTCCCAGGCGTCAGAAGACCGCCGTCTTCGAGCGTCGGGAAGCCGAAAAGAGGAGAACCCCAAAATTCACCTAAAACCAAGAGCAAATCAATGATGTTTGCCTCTTGGGCCCTTCTTGGGAGTGCTCTTGGAGGCCTCTTGGGACGTTTCGGGACGATCTTTGGGGGTATGACAGCTTCTTGGGGGTCGTCGTGGACCGTATTGAGGCTTTCTGGAGTCGTTTCGGGAGCGCGCCACGCCTTGCGAGGCCCGGGGGGCCGCTTCGAGGCCCGTCCGGAGGGTCCCAAAGCCCCAGATCCCGGGAGTCCGGTTTTGGATGGGGGGGGTCCCCTTGGAGGGGGGGGGGTCCCCCCGCCCGGGTTTATAAAAAAATAGGAAGCGGAAATCCACAGGCCCCCTTTTCCGACGGGGGCTCGCACCAGTGGCAGGGCGGGGAGTGCCGAGCCCGAGCCCGAGTCCGAGTCCGAGCCCGCTCGAGACGGGCGTGAGCCCGAGTGCGAGTCCGAGCTCGAGCTCGAGCCCAAACCGCTCCCTGCCCGCTTTGTGCGCGCGCGTGCGTGGGTGTGCGGGGAGGGCCCCACGCTCGCGACCGAGAGAGCAGGAGAGAGGCGGCCGTTGACTTGAGGATCGAGTCTCGAGGCTCGAGGGTCCTGGCTCGAGCGTCGTGGCTCGAGGATCGAGGCTGTAGGTTCGAGGCTCGAGGAGCGTCGAGGTTAGAAGATCGAGAGTCGAGGATCGTCGAGGTTCGCGTCAACAGAAACTGCATAAACCTAAACTGTCGGTTCGCGCGGATTTCTTGCACTTGCGCTGCACCGCCCTGGCGGCGCCTCCGGCGCCGCCCCTGGCGCGCTTCGCGCAGATCCAAGACATCCGCGCGGACCCCTAAAAGTTGTTATTTAAGCACTAGTCTGGCCCCCCGACGGCTCGAGGATACAGAATCGACGCCGAGTTCGGGGCTCGAGGATCCCGACAACCCGCCTCCGCCGCCGCTTCCCGAACACCACGCCTCCTCCTCATCCTCCTCCTCCTCCTCCTCCTTCTCCTCCTCCTCCCCCTCCTCCTCCTCCTGCTCCTCCTCCTCCTCCTGCTCCTTTTCCTTCTCATCCTCCTCCTCCCCTCCCCCTCCGCCTCCCTTCCCTCCTCCTCCTCCTCCTCCTCCTCCTCCTCCTCCTCCTCCTCCTCGGGTCGCCTGCGGCCCCGGAGGAAACCGTGCACCTCAATTGACTGGAAAACAGCCGCGGGCAGAGGAAAACGTCCGAAAACGTCGAACCCTGAAACCGATGATAGCACATGATGTTTCGGATGTAACTCCTGGGAGGTCAAATTCTGATGTTGCCCTGGTCCGAAATCCGGCTCAATCCCGCTTACTCCAGCTTAATCCCGCTTCATGCGGCGGAATCCAATGTAATTCGCGGCCCAATCCGGCGTTGCAGGCCCCCCATTGGAGCTTCATCCTCCTTAGTCCTTCCGACGAAGACCTCCCAGTCGTTGCCTCCTAAAGGCGTCGGGATTCTGTTTCGCGGCGGGAGGGGGTCTGGGGAGGGGGCCGCCCCCCGCGGACGCCCCGCCGGGTGTCGGCGTGCCCCCGGGCCACGGCGCAAGTCCGCAGCTGATCAGCGCGCTGCCGGGGGAGGCGCTGGGGCTCCCGCGGCCCCCGCGCGGCCCCTCCGTTCGCCCACCCTCCAGAGCAGAAGTCGGACGGGGCTAGGTGATCGGTTTCTTTTCCATTGTTTGGCCGATCGGCGCGGGCCCTCGCACCCTCCCTTGCCTCTCCCCCCCTTGGAGTAGGTCTTGGCTGTTTTTTTGCGCCTGTTTCAGGCAGGTGGAGTCTCCCCCATAAGTCGCCTCAAGCAGAGGTCTGGAGCAAGAGCCCCCCTTCCCCCCCCTTTCCGCCCAATGCCGAAACACCGAATAAGAAAACGTTAGCTAGGGCGCGGACAAATCCATTCCAGAGCGTCCCAAAACCCTCTCAGAGCGTTCCGGAACGCTCTGAGAAGGCCGCGGCGCCCGAGACAGCTTCCACAGCCGCGGGATTCTTAGAGATGTTCGGTTTATCCTCACCCGATGTTATCCTCGTCCTGGCTTTGCCTTAGCTGTTCGGCATGCTGCAAGGGAAGAGTCTGGGATTCCCGCGGCCCGTCCCTCCCCTCGGACCACCCTCGGGAGCGGAAGCGGTCGGGACTTCTGGGGCCGCGGATTGGAAAAAACAGATCGGCGGGACCCCCTCGCGTCGTTTGAAAATCACGGCGGGAGGGGTTTTTGGTATTTTCGGTCTCTGGGGGCCCTCGCCAGGCCCCAGGACCATGAAAAGCTGGTCGCGGGGAATGGGTCGAGACTTCCGGGGGTCGACGTTGTGAAAAACACGACGTCAGGGGTCTGGGCAAGAAGCATGATGAGCATGACCACGATGTCGCGGGCTTTGGTCGACGCTGATATGATGTTGATCATGATTCACGCGGGCCGTCGCCGATTCGCGAGGATGATCTCAGGAAGGACGAAAACACAGACACCCATTATGGTCGATTCCCAGGGAAGGATTCGAAAATATGGGAAGCGGAGGGACACACGAACATCTGGAAAATAGAGAACATATGCGGGATTTTGAGATATGTGTGTATTTCTGTTGTGTCCCTGGGCCACTAAGTTTCCACGTTCAGTCGTGGGAGGAGACGGGGGAGGAGGTGGAGGAGGAGGAGGAAGAGGAGGAGGAGGAAGGAGGAGGAGGAGGAGGTTGGTCATCGTTTTTCCTTCCCTCCACCCACCCACCCTGCGCGGGCGCGCAGCGGATCCTGGTGGGCAACAAGTCCGATCTCGAGGAGTACGGCGGCGCGCCCCTCGCAATAGAGTGGAAGCCCATGCCAAGAAGCACCCTGCCTGCCTCCCGCCCTGGGTTTCTTGGGTTTCGATGACTTTGCTATGGAAAGCGTGTCGCTCCCGCGCCAACATCCATGGACGTCCTGGGGTCTCAGGGCCCCGCCGCCCTCCACGAGCTGCGAGGCTGTCAGGAAAGGCGTCGGGATGGAGAGCTGGTCCAGGGGGAAGGCCCCTGGGTCGAGGACCCGTTTCCACTAGGGCCCAGCTTCTTCATGGCAGTGTGCGCGTGTGTGGTGTGTGTGCATGTGTGGGCGTGTGTCTATGTGTATGGGTGTCTCTGTGTGTATGTGCGCGTGTGTGTGTGTGTGTCTGTGTCTGTGTCTGTGTGTGTGTCCGTGGGTGTCTGTGTGTGTGTGTGGGTGTCTGTGTGTGTCTGTGTGTGTGTCTGCGTGTAGTCGTGTGTGTGTGTGTGTGTGTCCGTTTGTGTCTGTGTCTCTGTGTGATGTGTGTGCGTGTATCAGTGTGTGCGCGTGTACTTGTGTGTGCGGTGTGTTTGTGTGGGCGTGAATGTGAAAGTGCGTGTGTCTGTGTGTGTTGTGTGTGCGTGTGTGTGCGTGTCTTTGTGTGTGTGCGTGTGCGTGTGTGGTATCGTGCGTGTGCGCGTGCTCGTGCGCGTGCGCATGCGTGTGCGCGTGCGTGTGCGCGTGCGTGTGCGTGCGCGTGTGCGCGTGCGCGTGCATGTGCGTGTGCGCGTGCCCGCGCGCGTGCGTGTGCGTGTGCGCGCGCGTGTGCGCGTACGTGTGCGCATGCGCGTGCGCGTGCGCGTGCGCGTGCGTGTGCGCGTGCGTGCGCGTGCGCGCGCGTGCGCGAGCGTGTGTGCGGGGGACATGGGACAGGAGGGCACATTGCAACATTGTTCACGCATCTTGAGTTCAGTTTGGTTCGTTATCGTTTCCCCCCCGTCTGTCGCGGGTTCGCAGTCTGCGAAATTCGCGGATTTAGCAATGGAGAGACAGCCCGGAAAAGATGATGTTTTTTTGGTTGTTTGCAGTCACATTGGGACGCGATGTTTGGGCCAATTCTACTTTGGCCGGGGGGCTCAAATACCTCGAGCAAGTTTAGGACGCCAACACGTTCGACGAGGCCGGCGCGCGTGAGAATTGGCGCGCAGCGAAGTCTAATCACGGTTGGTCCTGGCAGGCTACGAGACGAACGAGACGACCCGCGCTCTCCACCCAGATGGCGGCGACTCGCGGCTTGAAGCCGTTTCCGCCAGCCCCCCGCCCAATCAAAATTTACAATCCGCTCGACCGGTCGACCCGCCCGCCAGGGCCCGACCGCCCAACCCCGCGACAAAGACGACGCCGACGTTCATTAAGACTCGTCACGGGTAGAATGCCCCGCCCACCCCTTCAACGTCCGACCGCGGACCCCGTCCTCGTCGCCCCCGCCGCCTTCGCCCCCGCCGCCAATTTCGACTGGCCGAAGAAATCTTCGCCGATTTCGAACGCGAAGATGGGGTTACGCGGGCCCGGAGAGTGCTCCAAACCATGGGCGGTACCCCACCTTTCGTAGAAATAACTACTACACGGCACTTGGGTTTCTGGAAGGCCCGCCGGCGCCGCCTGGGCGAAGTAGATTTCGCTGGCGCGGGCGGCGAGCCTCTAATGGACAGTTTCGTTGGCGATGCCGTGGAGTGGGCAACCTTGTCTGTCGTGACCAACTAAACACCAGTGAAAGGTCGGCAGTATGATTGCGTCTTTCGCGCGCTCGCAGGCCCCCCGAGCGCGCGCCGGCCCGCCTGGCTGGGGCATCACCCCCCGAAATGCATCGAGCCGCCTCTGGAGATCGCGCAGGGCGGGCGGAGTGAGGGCCAGAGAAAGAAGTGTGAGAAACCAGGGGGCCGCGACCAAGTCAAACATCCAGCTGCCCGCGGCAAGTCCAGCCACCGTGCCAGCCGAGCATTATCAGTGGGAGTTGCCCGAATCGATAAGTATGATGGCGATGACGGCGACGCAAATGATGATGACGAGAGCGATCGCGACGCTGATAACGACGACGGCGATGACGATAATGATGCGGACGACGACGATTACGATGATGACGATGGCGATGATGATGGTGATGGTGATGATGTCGCCCATGAGAGGATGAGAGGAGACCACGAAGAATAATGCCGCTACATGTGAAACATGTCATCGCCACGCCACATGGACATCAGTTGGTCCATCTTTTGGCCGACCAGAGCTCCCGGAGGTTCCCTGTGGCCGTTTTGGGCCGCCCCAAGGGGTAACCGAGGGTCTTCGGAGTTCCCCTGGGGCTTGGCCTCGCTCGGACGTGTGCATTGCTTTCGCGGCGAGGAACATCGAGGAGCATTCTGGATCGTCTTGCAAAACAAGGCACGCACGAGACCAAAGAATGCGCGGGGAATGGACGTCCGAGCGATGGCAAGGGGTCTCGACTGGCCTCGGATTTGGGCGCCTCAGAGCCCTGGGAGCCTCCAGAGGGACCTCCAGCGGCCCCAGAGTGACCTCTGCAGACCGCTGCCTCCACGCACGCGACCTCCTCGCGTCGTGATAGGTGCCATCGCGCTGCCGCCGCACGAGCATGCCGCGTGGGGACCTCTGGAGGCCGTTTTCCTCCACGCAGGCGCCCTCCTCGCGTCTTGAGAAATGCCACCTCGTTGACGTCGCTCCGGCGTGCCGCGCTCCCTCCCCGTGGCGCCCCTCGTCAGAACCCCTTCGCTCCACGGCCTGGGCGGGGGGGAGAATGCGGGAGGCTGACGATCAGAGGGACAATCAGTCACGATCATGGCACGTACGTTTCAATTTTTCCAGGGTTTCAAAAAGTTCCTCCTGGTCCGCACGGGCTCCAGTAACGAGGACCGCCGACTACTCCAGAATTCCTGAACACCGCATCCTGACCCAATCGCATCATGACATCGTTCGCGTCCAAGAGAGTGCGAGAAGGTGGCGAAGAAGCGGGCAGGAGCAGAAGGTGCGGTCCCTGGAGGTCCCCAGAGCCCGAGGCCACCAGAGGCCCCAAAACATCCCGAATCACTCAGAGCAGGTCCAAGACCTCGCAAGAGACAGTGTGTTACCCCCTGGCGATAGCGAGCGTGACCCAGGGGTGGGGGAGGGGGGGGAGGGGGGGAGGGGGCTGGTCTCGTCACGCTTCGCGCTGGCACCGTCTGGGGATGCCCAGGGATGGCGAATTCCGAGACGGCGCCGACGCGCATCCTGACGTGACCATGGAGGAAGGGAGGGGGGGAGGGGCGGGGCTGGTCACGGGCGCTATCGCGAATCATGAAGAACTGGCTCCGGAGCCCTCCCCGCCCTCTCGTGCAGGGGAGGAGCTGCCCGCAGGACTGCAGAAAGGTCTCCCGCGAGGACGGAGAGGCGCTCGCCGCAAGATTTCACATGAAGTTTTTCGAGGCCGGGCTCGGGCGCGCGCCGCCGCGCCCCGATCCCTCGCCACGCTCCAGGCCGCTTGGGCTGTGTCTGAGCAGACGTGGTTCGGAGGACCGCGCCGCATCGCCGATGCATCGTCGATGCGGCGCGGCCCGGAGCCCGTTCGCCTGCATCCCGGCATCGCGGGTGCACCGCCGACGCATCGGCGATGCGGCGCGGTCTTCCGACCCCGTTTGCTCTGGCCTCATTCGGGCTCATCTCCATGTGTTCATGCTCTTCCTCTGCTCCCAAGACCTTGCTGTGTTCATCAGGCGCGTCAGCGTTTCGGCCTCCGGGGACACTGCGCAGGGAGTTGCAGTGGCATGCAAAGACAGCAAGGGCAAATTTGGCACAAGAGTCACAAGAGTAAACGCGATGGAATTTGACAAGCACAACACATGTGGAAAGGCGATCAGCAGCATCCACGTATCGAATGGTGGTTGTTGACAGGTCTCCTGACGGAGACGGCTGCCAGGGCGAACAAAACAATTATTTCCAGCATTTGACGAGGATATCCCGATGCCAGGTGCCCATGCCCCGAGATAGTTTTCGACAGCGCGCTGTGGAACATCAGACAGCCCGTAGATGTGTCGATTACACTACATGTTGTCGACTGCCCGACATCTGGCAGACTGTATCCGATCATGTTGGAGCACAGTTTTGCACAGGTGCGCCGTGTGTGGTTAAGTATGTCCCAATTGCTATAAAACGTGTAATGCTCTTTCAGATGCTGCATGTCTTTATCCCACCGTTGTCAGATTGCGGGTGTGTTTGTGCATTGAGCATCTCTGGCGTTGCAAGCTTCGCACCGCCTGGCTGGGGAATGACTGTCCGTTCATTTCCTGCCGTAACGGGCCTTGTGTGACCAGCGAGTTCTCCATGGGCAGTTCACTTCGTCGGTCACTTGTGGCATGGTCGTTGTCACCCTTTGCGTGGATGCGGCCTCAGACAACGCGCATGTCTTGCTGCGACGTCGGGCCCCATTCAATGAATTCCCGTCGGGAAGCGCCTTGCTTTCTGGCGTTCCTGAGAGCATGTGGTACCGCACCGTCTGGTCGCCACGGAGTTGAACAGCCCATGCCTGAGGAGCCCGAGTGTTTGGGACAGGCTCCGCAGATTCATGAAGTTCACGTCTGCGGGCGATTTTCCATTTGCGTCATGGTGCCAGCAGGCAAGTGCAGGTTAAGCCCGCCTGAACCTGGCGGCAGCGATCACTCCTCGAGCAGTGTTTGCTTTTTCGATGTCGGGTACGGCCAAACCTGCTCTGGATGCAAGGACAGCAGCAAGCAAGTGTTGGCGTCTGGGCAGCTGCCAGCGAGACAGTCGTTGCATGAACCCAGCCGGCTACCACAGTGGGTCATGCACGTGGTATTTTATACGGATTACACGAGCATGTGGAGCTCGTTGCACCTATGCACAAGGGCGCGGCCTGGGCGTTGGACATTGGCCGCGGGTGTCGTGGCTTTGCCAGCGCATTAGGTGGCATCCCTTGTGTTGCCATTTCCTAGCTTTTGAAGCCATGCCTGGGTCAGCAGGCAGCGCCATCCGGCCCGCTCTTGGTCTCGAGGGGCCATGTCAGTCGCCGCCCCCTAGCTTCAACCCCCACGTGGGTCCTCCGCGAAGACCTCGGCGAAGTCCTCAGCAGTCGCCGAGAACGTGCTCCACTTACCAGACCCACGCCGTGATTGCTCACAACGTGGACCCCCAGAAGCCCAGACCCCTTCCCCAGGGCCGGGTTTGCACCCCGAGCCGTTTGTTGACAGCCCCGGGACCCATTCAGGCTTCCCAGACGCCGAACATTTCGAAAAGCCCGCCGCCGTGAGTTTTGCCACGGCAAGAGCCGAAGAAGAGACGAGCATAAACACAAGTGTTCGGAGGTCCGCGCAGATTTCCTGGATCCTCGCCTGGGCGTCCCTTGGGGGCACCTCCGGCGCAGCCCTTGGCAAGCCCCACCAGGGAGGGGTCCAGCGCAAGATCCATTAAATCCGCGCGGACCTCTGAGAGTTCATGTTGTGTCGGCTGTTCTTCCTTGAGAGAGAAGTTCTGGGGAAACGCAAAGGTACTGATACCGCTACTCCACGGCCCTCTCCTGGGGTGCGTTCTGCTTAGGTTTCCGAGGCGAATCCAGCGATGGCCACGAGGCCTCCCAGTAACCAGAAAAATGGGAAAACGAGGAAAAGGTAGCAGTATGGGTACCTACTCCCCCCCTGAAGCTTTGGGCTCGGCAAGCCCGTGGCAGCACCAGTGCCGCTTCCGCCCCGGGCCTACGCCGTCGCCACGCGCGGGGGCAGTGTGCTGCGGCACCGGCGCCTACACCCGCGCGGCACCCCTGATGAACCTGTCTCTCGGCGGACTGGCGGGGGCACGTGTGCAGAAGAGGGCAGGGGCAGCGCAAGCCGCCTAAATGGGGTCGAAGTGAAGTCAAGACGCTGAAGTAAGGACCACTGTGGGTTCAGGAGCGGCTCCGGTTGCCAGGCCTCCCCGTGGCTGGAAAAGCCTTTTCGCCCCTTATTCATCCATCATTATGGTAGCACGATGATTGTATAGTTGAGGTCGGTAGATCGCGCCGCATTGACGATATGTTGGCGCTGCGGCTCGATCTAGAGCCAGATTCCCCCTATCCCGACGTCGCCGATTCGTCGGCGATGCGGCGCGAGCCTCCGACCCCATCTACTCGGACCCCATTTGGGCGGCCTCCAGCAGCCAGGGAAGGGATGGGGACGGGGACGGCGGAATGAACGGGGAGGAAGCGGGTGGGGTGTGCGCTCCTTTCTATTGTATCTTTATTGGCATGTCGAGCTTTTTTCACAGCTGATAGTTTCCTCAAGTGGAGGTCAAAGCGCAGCGGGCTCAGGCAGCACGCACCTTCTCGGCCAGGAGCGAATGCTCGACGGGAAGCTCGGAATATTGACGCAAATGCGCGGGCTGGCTAACCTCGAGCCAAGCCGCGAGCGAAGCTCGGGTGCGATACCCGGACTGGCCTGGAGATTATTGGGCAATGTGTTCTGCAGGAGAAGATACAGCTTCTGTCTCCGATCGAAGAGGAGTGGGAGAAAAGGGACGAGAAGAAGGAACTGCACGGCGCCGGCAGCGAGAAATTCGGGCGGGAAAGGGAGGACGAGGACCAAGAGAAGCGGGATGAGGAACAGAAGGAATTTCGGCGACTACAATTGGTGCGGTTACGCCAAGGTGCTGTTTGCGAGTTGCTTTGCGGCGGCCTTTCCGGGCCCTTTGTGAGAGACGATGTCATAATTGTCGTCGTTCGACGGACAACGTCATTCTCGATGTGTGTTCCACTGTACTAGAAGGAGCGACAATGTCATGCGATTCGGTCGCATTGAGTGACAGTGTTATCCGTTTCCCGGGGGCGGGAGGGGCAGATATGACGGGAGGCAAAGCGCATCCTTTGCAAACCGCACCCAGTGTAGTCGCCGAGTAAGAGGACAACAGAGGTTGGAGGTAAACTGGAGGAGGAGGAGGAAGAGGAGGAGGAGGAGGCGGGACGAGGAGAGGGGAGATCGGGAGGCGGAGGAATGTAGGAATTGGGGGGGGCAAGTTCGAAGAGACTAGAGAATCAGGAGATGGACGAGGAGGAGGAGGGACGAGGAGGGACGAAGAAGAGGCAGAGGGGGACGAGGAGGAATGGGGAGGGCGGCGCACAAGGGGCAGACGTGATGGGCAAAAGGCGACGACGAGCCCCCGCGCCCGCGGCAGGCCTCCGCGGGGAGGAGGAGGCGGAGGGGGAGGAGGAGCACTGCGGGGCAGGGGGGAGGGGGCACCCGGTCGCCGCCGCCTCGGGGGAGCTCGGGGCGCGCGGCTGCGCGACAAGCCGTGCTTGCTGCTTGGGGAGGAGGAGGAGGAGGAGGAGGAGGAGGAAAGGAGGAGGAGGAGGAGGAGGAGGAGGAGGAGACGAGGAAACAGGAGGAGGAGGACGGGGACGAGGAGGAGGAGGAGGAGGAAGAGGAGGAGGAGGAGGAGGAGGAGGAGGAGAAGCAGGAGGAGGAGGACGGGGACGAAGAGGAGGAGGAGGAGCAGCAGCAGCAACAGCAGGAGGAGGAGGAGAGGAGGAGGAGAAGGAAAGAGGTGGGGGAGGGGGAGGGGGAGGAGGATGAAAGAAGAAGGGAAAGGAGGAGGTCGTCAGGACCCGCGATGGGGGGTCGGCCGGGGGGGCGCATCGACCCCCGATCGCCCCATTTCTCGCCGATCGGGGCCCGGGCCCCCCACCCCGCCCGCGCAGAAACTTTGGGCGTCGCCATCGAGAGCATCCAGCGGCCTTTCACCGACGCCCATTCTGGGTCGATGTTCTCCCACCCGAGCCATTCCCCCCCATTCGGAGGAGGGGGGAGATTTTGGCGTGTCCTTCCCCTTGGTGGGCAGCTGCCCCGTTGCCTATATCATGTTTCCGCCCGCCCCCCCCCCCTTTCGCGGCGAAGACCGTTGGGGGAGACGGGGTAGGCTTGCGCTACTTCGGCACCGAAGTTCGCATCGTTGAAGTCGGCGGCGCACCAAGAGGGGAAGGCAGAGGGGGTGGGCCCGTTCGGAAGGCTCAGAAAGCTTCCGGCCATTTGAGCAGTTTCTTGGGTCTCCTCCGACGCCGCAGGGTGGGCGTTCAGCAGGCCAGAGGGTGTCTGAGAAGCCTTCACCACGTTCCGAGAAGGCTTGCCCCCTTCTCGTGCCCCTTTCGGCGCGCCGCCGACGAAGCGTCCGTACGAGCCTGGTGGTTCCGGCCATTCCTCTCCCTCCCCCTCCTCCTCTTCCTCCTCCTCCCCCCCTCCTCCTGTTTTTACTCCTGCCCCTCTTCCTCTTCCTCCTCCTCCTCTTCCTCCTCCTC